AGCTGTAATAATTTCACTCATCAGAGCCTATTGGAATATTATATTCAGTTCTATATATAGTAATATAGAACTAAGTTATACCAGGAATGTTTGAAGGAGGTTGAGGTATCTTGCTTAGAAAGAGGCAGAGATATTCATCTTCAGTTATCTGAGGGGATAGTATGTAGAAGTTTAACGTATGTTAAATATCTGTAGAAAACAGACCTAATATCAGTTCTTTTTAAATGAAGTAGACTTCATGTTAGAACAAATAACTTCTTAATAAATAGGCCTGTACAAAAGAAGAATGAGATACTTTCATAGTTGAAGCACTAGAAATGTTAAAACAAAGGCTGATGGATAAGTTACCATAGAGATTTTGAAGAATAAAACACTCATTTACCTAATAGTACCTCCTAAATTTCCAATCCCAAATTGTCTGTTTCTCAAGGTTTTGTATAGTCTCTCTGGTCCTTAATTAAAGTTTGTTTTTCTTGTCTGGATCCATCTAATTCCTAATTATCTGCCTGGTGACTACTTTTGCCTTGAATTCTGTTTCCCATGGCCCTCCAAATTCTCAACCCCCTGCTCAGCCAGTTTTGGTTCTGTGCCTTGCTTACTTCCAGACCCTAAACGCATCTCACCTCAGATTTCCCACTTGATTCCAAAACCTCCTCCCCAAACTACCTACCAGGTCTGGTGTATTCTTTTGACCAGGTCTTGCCTTCATGCCTGTCCTCTGCTCGGTGCTTTCTTTCATGTTGTGGGACCCAGAGATAGTGCATCATCACATTTGCTTACTGTGAAGCCTTCTGACTGGGCACCGCCGCTGCTGTCTTTCCTTCCTCCTTCCTCCTCGTTTGCCGTACACTAACATGCAGCCTTCCAGCATATTAATCTTTTAAAATGCTCATTTAATTATCGCTTATCTTCCTGAAACTACTGTCTCAAAACCAATATTTTCCACTATCTGCGGGCGGAAGTGTACAGCAGTCAACTAGGGCTGCCATGGCAATATATCATGGAATGGGTGGCTTATACAATATAATTTTTTTTCTCACAGTCCTGGAGGCTGGGAGGTCCAAGATCAAGGTGGCAGCTGATTCGATTGCTGATGAGGATTCTCTTCCTAGCTCACAGACCGCCACTTTCTTATTATGTCTTCATATGACAGAGAGAGAGAGAGAGAGAGATAGAGAGAGAGAGAGAGAGAGAGAGAGCGCGAGCGAGCGTGATATCTCTGGTGTCTCTTTCTATAAGGGCACTAATCCCACCACGAGGGCCCCACCCTCATAACCTCATCTAACCCTCATTACCTCCCAAAGGCCCCATCTCCAGTCACTGAAGGGTTAAGGGCTCCAGCATGAATTTGGGGGAGACACAGACATTCAGTTCATAACAAGGTGTGTCTTTATGGTCTGATTCTAAACCATATTTCTAACTTTATTTTTATTTTTTATTTTTGGTATTCCAATAACCTCTTCTGCAACTAATTCTGTTTATTCGCTCTTTTCCATGACACCGTTTCTGCTCTCATAACTCCTTACAGGATATACACCGTCCTTATTTTTTAAATCCTACCTATCTTTAGTTTATTATATTTCTTCTATTATTCTCTTAAAAAGTTTCAATTCTCTATTTTTTTAACTTTCACATGACTAAATGGGGGTGGGGGGTAATTCTTCCCCAACTACGCTGTAGTTCTTGTTGAATGCAGAGACCATGTCTTAGATTTCTTTGTACTGAGTACGTAGATCTTGAAAAAATAATTTGTGTTTTGATTCACCTTCAGTCCTTTATTTATTGAACGACATTTAATGATCCCCTATTTTGTGCTAGAAGAGTAAATGTAGTTCTTATCGTGTGACTTGGCTCTCAAAATGTTTTACTCTCCCTGAAACTTCACTGTCAATAACTTTGAAGAAAAAGGCCATTTCTCTTTTCATCTTTTTCTGTATAATGTTACACAGTTGAGTGCCTCACTTGCCTGCATCACTGGTGACTTAGAGATTTTGTTTGTTCCATAAACCTAAGATCATAATTTTTCCTTTAGATTTCATTACGAAACAGAGAGAGAAGATGAAGATGATGTCCTTTTATCGTCCATATTTCAAAACATCTGAGGAAAATAATTGGAAAAATTGGGTAAAAGAAATAAACTACTCTTCTTCTCCATCCCCTTGGTTAATACTAAATTTAGCCCAACGTCTGGCAATATTAAGCACTGAAAAATAGATTGAATGTTGGATGAAATAATTCTTAAGACAATTGCTGAAATCTGACAACGTAGAAACAGGAAACATGAGAATTAAAGACCAGATCTTAGAGATCATCTAGATCAACTTGTTCATTTTCTAGATGATGTAGTAGAAGTCCGTAGATGCTAAATGTTGGCCCCTACAATGCAGAGTAGCCAGCCTAGAGGAAAACTCCGACTGGCCCTCCCCCATTCCAGTACTCTTTTAACTGTGCCCTATAATTTAGACCACACTATTTCTGTGAGTTTCGGTGGGTAACTTAAAGATATGCTGAAGGAGTTTGGGGAAAATTTTGTAGAACAGAATAGTTATAAAAAGACCCGGGAAGTAAAAAATACAAAAGGGAAGAGGATAGACTTACTCTAAAAATAATTGGTGATTTATTTCTTTCACGACTTGGTAAAAGTTCTTTATTAGAACCAAAGGACAAACTGAAAGAGTTTTGTGTTTCTTAGAAGCTACAGGATTTTTTTTTTCCTGAATTTTTTTTTTTTTTTTTTTTGCATCCACTACTTGCCTTTGTATTTTTGGTATTAGTTTTCAAAGAGAGGAGACAGTGGTAAAATCTCTGAACTCTTTAACTATTTGAAAACTTCTACTTTTGTTTACATGATTTTAAAAAGGGCAAAATGGTTTGACGGTCTTATTTCTGATTGATCTGGTATTTGGACATTATGCACACTGAGCCTTAGAGGAATGGAAATGCAGCCATTTGGGGAATGTCAGCATGACACTTTTTCACCCCGGTGTCTCTCCTAAAGTTCAGTAAAGGCCATCTTTCAGAAGCACATAAATCCACTTCGGATAAAACAAAACCAAAGGACTTACTTTCTTTATGTGAGAGTAAATCCTTATTTACTTCTTAAATACCTCTTCTCCCTTCCCCCTCAGGGGAAGTTATCCGTGTTCATTTTAAGCCCCTCTCATCTGTCCTCCATCTTTGAATCTCTGCCCTGTTTGGTCCAACCTGCAAGATAACAGCGTCTATGACTTTTCTGTATCTTGTTCCCAGAAACAGTAGCCCATGGTACTTTCATTAGTTATTCTCTCTCCTTATGTCAGTGACATAACATAGCATTTTCTCAAATTTAATTTCTTCTGAAAGAAAAAAGAAAAAAGGTATGGCTGATAGTGCTACCAAATGGAAACTCAGCATTGAGTGAAATAGGCAGGACTTTTATGCTTGTGGCCAGCATTTGAATTGTTAATGAAGGCATAGTGGTGGTCACATGGTGGTAGGTAATGATGGTGATGGTGGTAAGGGTGGTGATGATGGTGGTAATGCTTGTGATGGTGGTGATAATGGTGGTGATTGCGATGATGGTGGTGATAATGATGTTGACAGTGTTGGTAATGGTGGTGATGATGGTAATGCCTACTTATTGGTCTGCTTTTTCTTCTAAAGAGCCAAGTGGTTCTTGGGATGATTTGATCCCATTGTAGAGTGATAGAGGAAAAAATGTAACAATAATTTAATAGTCTAACATGACAGTACATAATTTATAATCAGCATTATATGATTTATCTGATTCTCAAGAATGGAAAATAGTTCAATTACTTTTCTTGAGAATAAAACGTTTTGTTTTATTGTCACTCTTACTGTTTCTTCGGCTTGTGTTTTTGTTATTTTTGTATGGGAGAGCCCATGATAAATATAAGAAATAAAATCGGAGAGTGTATTATGTTGCTGTCACCCGAATGTACTTTTTACCAGAATGTATTTAATAAGCTTCTCCCAAGCAACCAACACCGATTTTGGCACTGAGAGGGTCATCATGGTTTTGTTATCAGGTTAATATATTTTAGGACGAAAGATACGATATTAATTTATCCTATAAATATTTATCGAATATCTTCTATGTCTTAGACACTGTGCTAAGTGGAGTAAATACAATGCTTGGCCCCACATTCTAATTGAGAACATAAAATTGCAAAGACTGTTGCCTAGTAAGAATTTTGTTAGAATGGAAATACACAAAGCATACTAGAAATCAGAGAAAAACCATCTAAGTTTTACATCTTAATTTGAGGAGAGAACAATTTAGTCAGGACAAGAAGGGGAAATTGAAGCAGTGAAGCATTCGATAGGAATTCACTGTCTTGAGTGCATCTGTCTTATTGTGGCAACTGCAGTGAATTCAGTGTTGCTGTAGCATGTCATTTGGGCCAGAGTGTAGTGTGGGAGAACAGAGTACTGACGTGAGGTGAGGCTTAGCAGTCAGGCAGAAGCCATTGCAAGAAAGGTCTTGTAGACCAGTCCAGGTTGGGATTTTATTCTCCACTGGATAATTTCAACAGCAGATCAGCATATTTAAGTTTGTAAGTTAGAAAGACCATTGAGAGATCAGAGTAGCGAATATATTTGAATGAGTTAAGACTGAAGCCAGAAAGACCAGTTGGGTGGTGGCCTTCGAGGGTGAGAACTGGTGAGACTCTGAGCTTATATACAGTGATGGCAGTAATGCAAAGGTGCTAAATGATACCCAGTGTATAAAAGAAATAGTATCTTAGGCAGTCGAACTTTTTTTTTTTTTAATGTGGAAATATTTAAGGATGGTTTTCAGTTTTCTGGCTTACGACATGGGACTGAACAATACAAGACGGTGTAGAATTAATTGCTGAACTCTGCATTTTCAAAAATAAGTACTTGGAATCTCATCGGAGTGAGCAATAATTGAAGATAATCCTTTGCAGAAGGTGTCAGGACATAAGTTGACATATCAGATACATAGTACATATAACTGTGTAAGAAAATAATTTTCCTAAGTGACTTAGAGCTCACTTACCTGTTCCCTGCTTGTTTCCTGGAGAGTCACTTGACTCCCACAGAAGAAACTCTCCCCCTTCCTTTACTCTGAAAAAGAAGGGTAAATTGGTTTAGACATGGTCCACAGCCCTTTCCCAAATAAAACTCTGTTTCTAATTGGAGAAATACATAAATTCTTCATCACAGATCTCAGTATAGAAGGACAGAGGAGGAAAGGAAGATGGAAAGAGTTAATTAGTAACTATTTTCACAGAAGATTGGGAAGGAGTCAGAGAGTAAGATTTTACTTCTTAGGCTGGGAAAAACTAATCTGCAGTGCCCCAATACAATAGAGTAAAATTCAACAATAAAATAATCACATCGGCATTCTCAGATATTAAAATGTCATTTTTTGCCGCCTTCATACAGGGTCTACTACATCAGGGGGTGTATATTTGCTACTTTATTAGGAGAGCTGTAATATTTTCATTTATTTTTTTCTCTTCCTATTGGCTTTCATTTTCGCAATTTGGTACAATATTTGGAGAAAAGCATGTAAGATTAGTGTCCATAACGCAAGAGTCAGCTGACAGAAACAAACCAAGAAAATAGAGTAAGGCAGTTTATGACCTTCTCCAGTCTCGCTGTGGGTAGATCAGGAAATTCCAATACTCTCAAAAATACTGGCATACTGTTCATATTTTCAAGATGAATGTACTGAGATAGGTTTATGTAAACTATACATCAGTAGTTGTGTTGTATCACGGGGTTATTTCATTTGCTTCAGAAAATAAAGTATCATCTTTATAGAAACAGTAAAATGATCTTTCCAGTGAAGTTCCACTGGAACTAGACTCTGAATAGTGGGTAGAAATTGACTAGTTAGAAAGGAGAAAAACTATATTCTGAAAAGAAAACCATGTATACAGAACCTCAAGACTGGACTAATGGTTCGGTATGTTTTGTGTAAACTTAGCAAACCTCCAGAATGAACTTCAGACTACACTTCAAGGAATTAGTGGGATATTCAGTATTATATGCAATAGAATAGTTTCAAGATTAGGAGTTTAGATTTGGGAAGATCTTAGAAGATTTTGGATAGAAAGAGCGAGTGACATTACTGCTTTATGAATGATAAAATATTCACATTATTAATAATAATGAAATAGCTAACACTGAGTGCTTATTATTATAAATGCCAGACACTAAATAAATAATTGAGTACTGATCATACTCTATGATATTATTATCACAGATTTGTAAACCGAGCAAGTGGCCAGGGAACTTACACAAGAAACAAGTAGCACTGGAGAGAGAAGGTTCATGAACCCGGCACAGTCTGGCACCTTGATATCTGCATCAAGTTTGTTAATTTTAGGGCAACATGCAGGGGAAAAGCAAAGCCGAGAAGCCCCTTAGGAGGCCTGTGGCACGTACCATGTCTGAGATTTCGAGGTGCTGAATATTAGGGATGACAGAGGAGGTCCACATGCAAGCCATCGGTTTTCCTTTTATGCAGAGCCAGGTGTCTGTTCAGGTCCAACGTAAATTTATTTCAAGAGAGAAACTCTTAGTCCGTGTCGCAGAGATGGACCTCCCAACCAGACCCGAATCAACTTGGTCCCTGGAACAATGGCCCTAATTCTCTCAGTGCAGCCACTTGTAATAGTTTCTTTCTCTCAAGGACAATAATTTTCTTAATTCCATTCACAGAGTTTTGTTTCTGGAAATGTCACAGTCTATTGACTATGTAAATGGTGCAGTTGCTTCCCATGAAAATGAATAAAATTCCTATTGTACTATGTGTACTACTATTGACTCTCAAGGGGAAAAAATGTAAGTAGCTCAGCATCATTGTGGGAGACAGAACATCTGTTTGCTTTGGACTCCAAGAAAAGTCTCCACGTGGCTTCCCTCTAAAGCAGATTAGTAAGCAACTTATGAATAAATTATCCCAAGGGCTTTCTTGTCCACATGACTAAGAGTTTAATGTTTCCTAAAACCAGTTTTATTATATTGTTACATCATATCCATTCTTTCTGGGATAGATTTCTAATGGTAAAGGGAAGCTGTGGTTTCATTCTGATTCCATAAACCTCCCTCCTCAGAGCCTTATTATGTCTCTGATCAGCAAAACCTCTCTGGGCATACGATTCTCTGAAACTGTTTTGGTTTTTTGCACTCATCCATTTTTCAAACGTTTGTTTATCATTTCCCATATACAGGGTCTTTTGAGAGGCACTAGGTTTACAATAGAGAACAAGGCACGACCAATTCATTCAAATAAAAAGAAGTAAAAGAGTTGTAAGTGCTAATATAGAGCTCGTCCACAGCATGAGGAAAGACCAGAGGACGGGAACCCCAAGCCATTTGTAGGTGTCATGAAAGGCTTCTCACAGGAAATGACTTTTAAGCTTGGACTTGAAAGGGCTTATCCGACATGGGGACAGGGAGAGGGAGTGGGTGGATTGCGATGCAAATGATAGATTGTCATTCCAGGGAGAAGGAACAGTACGTGCCCATGCAAGGAGGTAAAAGAATCATTGTCTCGGACTTCAATTATTTCAGCTCAAATGCCCATCCATTTATCGATTCATTTAGCACAGCGTTCCCAAAGTGTACTCCGTGGCATATTTTTTTTTTACGAGATATTAATGCATATCCCGTGAGAAGAAATTTTCCCTGCTCAAATATGTCTCAATATTGAAAGAATCTAAGTGAATGATTTTTTTGCTACAGCATTTTTAAATACATCCGTGTAAATAGTGACTCAGCAAAAGAAGAACTGAGGGTATGATTTTTTCCAAACTTATTTAACAATGAAACGGTTTATTCCACAGGACATCTTTTAACAACTTGTGGAACTCGTATTCTATAGAACAAAGTTGGTAACTGCTGGTCAGCATCTTGGGAAGGTGTCGGAGCCCCCAATTCTGTATTTTCACCACACAGCATTGAGAAGAAATCTGCAGATGTCATAACGCGTACATTTCAACCATAGTATTTTTGACCAGCCAGTAAGATTTTAAGATTGCTAGAATTAAGTTTGAAAGCTGGCTCTAATATCTGCAGTATCCGACATCGTGACATTGACGAAACCAATGAATTCTGTGCTGACCTAAGACAGGATTACATTTCAGTTTTCTGAGAACGTTTCTAAAAAAGGACTAGATCAGCCTCTCAGAGGTAGCTCCATGTAGCCTGTGCCGTTTCTCTTATGTCTAGGACAGACTATAATGTGAGCGTTTCCTCCGGTTCCCCGTGTGGCGTCCCTCCGGAGAGGGCCGGGGCTGGGATGGAATGCAGTTTCTCCGCGGACCTGTGCATGACGGCGTCAGTGGCTACATCAGCATTTCCCACATTCATTTGGCAAGGACCAGCTTTCGCATTGAGTAACTTTTTAACCAGTGAGCGAGGCAAACAAGATATAGCGGCTTTGCCATCGCCATTCCATAGGGTTCCATAACATGCATATCACATAGACAGCCATTAGATAACGAAGGGTTAGAAGAGAGAGGATCTTGAGGATAGATGACACCTCTTATTTCTTCTCTTTGATATAAATGGATGGATCTTCAATAACCACATCAACTGGCCCACCCCACAGCCATTCTTGAAATAGATGGAAATACAATCAGCTGATTTGGACTCATGTTTCGGTGGTGATGGAAATGGAGAAGATCCTCTTTTGATCAGGCCCTGAGCCCACCCCATAACTATTTTTTAAGTTGAACCTATGTCTGTGAAAGTACCTAAGAACTTCCTTATTTTGGCAGGGTTTTGTTTTGGTTTTTTTAAGTATTAAATATCCTCCTCTTTAAATTGTTGCGGGTACTCTATTTTTTCCCTCTAATACTAAATTATTTATATGGATACTTTTCTAGTTCCTAAAAAAGCCTCAGCGATATGCACATAGTCTCAAACGTATTATCAATAGATTCGAAGTACAAGCTCTCCCTTCAGCATAAACACAGGAAAGCAGGGCATATTTACCCGCTCCACAAGGCCCTTATGACGCGTTAGTTCAGTTCATTGTAAACTGTTCAACTGCCTGCCAGACTCAGGCCTCCTTTCTTCGAATGTCTTTGGTTCACCCATTATCACATGTTTGGCCAAATAAGATTGGCTATTTTTGCCCTTCCATAATTTGCCCGGTCATAATTTTGACACTGTTTATGTTGTTAAAATTTTGGTCTGAATGTCCGAAGACATTCTGCTCCGAAAATGTCAAATAATGCTTCCCTTAGTCCCGGGGGCAAGTCTGTTCTTGAGCGGGTTCACTGAGGAAAGCTTGCACAGTGACAAATACCTTACATGGGCCTCCCTCATCCACGAGAACCCTTTGCAGTTGTAGGGCGAGTATAGGTTCTACAGTTGTTCAAAATCACTCTGATTGTACATGAAATGTACCCATCCTGTATTAGACTCGGTTTGTTTATTAGGACATTCATTCATTCAGTCATTTCTTAACTTAAGTTCTACCTGTACTTTAATGCAAATATCTCACACCCTTGTGTTAAGTAAAACCAAAACAAACTGGCAGAACCAGAACAAACCAAACAAAAATGATTCGCTCTTCTTCTTGAGGACGTGTCCCTTCAGTGTGCTTGACATAGTTTCTTACTGTCCACAGGCATTTGTGGTGTTTTGATTTTTGTCTTTTGTTTCTCTCTCTTTTTCTCCTCCTTCATCCTTTCCTCCTTTCCCTGAAGTCCAAGTTCACAGCCCCCTTTCTAGAGTAGCATCAGGGGCTGCATTAGAACAGCAGTAGCCTACATTCAGAACTTCATTGTTTTGCTGCAGACGGCCATTCGGAGGGGCCCTCTTTGCTTCAGACATCAACTCAGTCCCGTCATCACTAGGCTCCTGCTTCTGTCTTCACCTTCTGGGGGCTGCACTTGTGGTCTACTCATTGTACCCTACATTTTCGCAGTCCAAAACCTGAGACTTCCCCTTTCCTTTCAGAGTTAGAGGTCGGAAGATGGTTAACGTAACATCATTTATTGCACACCCAAAGTTTACCTACCATGGTCCTGGCAGTTGCAGATACAAACTCTACAAGGCTTTCAGGTCAGTACATTTGCCAATGAACTTCACAGTTACCAGTGGCCTGGGGTAGGGGAAACGAATAAACTGCACCTAAGCAAGGACACATCAATTAGTGCTTGAGTGACTGTTTTCAGGAGATCGGCCTCTTAAATTTGCATCCCTCTATTTTAGTCATAACCAAATTGCCCTCTCTGGGGCCACTTAAGTATGCTCTTAAACACGTTCAGGCTTTAATTAAGTCCTCTGTCTTTCAGGGACTGTGTATAACACTTTTTATTGATCTCAAGGGTTTGAACATTTTAATTTTATTACACTTTTTTACAAGCAAATAGGTAGGGAAGAAACAAAGGTGCAGAGATTAGCATTGTATTACTATTTTTCCCTTCTAGAATGAGAAGGTGTATCGTATATGTAAATCATACTTACAAAAATAAATATTTAGATATCTCATCTCCCCCAAATTATAAACACACACACACGCACACACACACACAATGTATATTCCAGGAAAGTTTCTCTGATACACAGATATATCCCAAAACAATTTAGTTTTCATCAAAGTGGTTTCTTATTGAAAAAGAAAGGAGATTGAAAGAAGGGAAATAAAGAGAGGAAGATGAAAGAGAAGGAAGTTGAGGTCAGGGAAGGAAAGTAGAAGGAAGGGAAGGCAATGAAATAAGTCATGTGATAGACTATATCATGTGATCATCTGTAAAAAATGAAATTTAAGTGAATAATTACCAATTTGTGTTCTAACAGTGAACATTTTTGAGTGCTCACTATCTGTTGGTGTTTATGCTACGTATTCTGCTACATTATCTCATTTAACACATTTATCATTTTACGTGAGCTACGTTGCTGCGAATTTAATGTTAATGAATCAACAATATGTTAAATGAGATGTCTTTAAACAGAAACACACACATACGTAAAACAAGGTTATACGTTGATTCACTGACAAAAAATGTTGTGACCAGAGGCTTGCAGGAACCTAATGCTGTATTTCAAGTAGGAGCAGTGGTTCAGTATTCACTAATTTAGTGTTCGTGTGGACTTATAGAACATAACTACCACACATAACAAGGACTGACACTATGCATATCTATCTGCCTCTATCTATCTATCTATCTATCTATCTATCTATCTATCTCTATCTAGCATCTCTCTCTCCTTCTAAAGAGATTAATTTTAAGAATTTGCTCATGCATTTGTGGGTCTTGGCAAGTCCAAAATCTGTAGAGCAGGCCAGCAGGCTAGACACTCAGACAGGAGTTAATACAGCAGTTTTGAATTTCTTCTTCTCTAGGACACTTCAGATTTTGTTCTTATGGCTTCAACTGATTGGGTAAGGCCCACCTGCATTATTGAGAGCAATCTCCTTTACTAAAGTTTGACTGATTATAGATGTTACCCATATCTACAAAGTACCTTCAGAGCAACATCTAGATTCATATTTGATTAAATAACTGGGTACTGTAGCCAAATCAAGTTGACATAAAATTAATCAGCATCATTATGACAGATATTGATGAGCTTAGAATGAACCCAGTTCACTGTGTGTGTTTTTATTTATAGAAACGAGTTATAACTGTACTGAGAGAGAGAGAAAGAACATGCTTGGACAAGCGAGAAGTTTACATCATCAGTAACAAAAGCTTTGTTACTAGACTCCCTTGGTTTTAGGTCTGGACACCACCACTAGCTGGCGCTGGAAAACTCACCTCCATGGGCCTTAGTTTTCTTATCTCTAAAAGGGAGAATAACAATAATACCACCCATGACAGTGAGCCTATTCTTTGTAGCTACTCAAAAAATGTTAGGTCTTCTCAGCACCAGCTCCTTGCAGAGGGT